GAGTTCCGGTGCTTGATTCTGATTGGCTGAGCCGGTTCGAAGCTGTTGTAAATTACTCTACAAACGTACACCTTTGTTTACGTTTGTGTTGCTTGGCAACCACTTTGTTGCAACCACAACTGTTTCTGAGGAACTACATTGTTTGGTGGAAGAATACCGTTTTTATTAACATCATTACACTTTATTTGCTCTGTTTTGTGTTGTGAAACCTTACTACGTATATGGAATAACCGTTTTATAAAAGCAATAAGCCTCAAGAAGCCGTGGTTTACAGTGAATTTACAACAGTTAAGGGGCGTTGTTAGACACGACGCGAAGCGGAGTTGTGAAACCATAGTAAGGTTTCACAAAATAAAACGGAGCAAAAAAAAAAACTCATGAGCCTGCTCTACATAGAAAACAACAATGTAATTCTGGAAATGTTTACTTTCATAGTGTTGAGATTGTACACAAGACTGCTGGTGTATTAAGTGTTTAAAGGCCTGTCCACTCGGAGCGCGAAAAAGCTAAACGAATATCGGCCGCGCTGGAATAAAACAACAGATTCCTATGGATGCTTCCACACAGACCGCGAACATTCACGCACCGAAAATGCGAATGTGTTTTTTCGAACCAGTCCGACAATTCTTTTCAGTTTCGCAAAGTGAAAACATGGGCCATCCAATAAGATCTGAGCATTACATCACATGGCCAGAGTAACTGCTGTTACCCAAAAGGTCAGTAAGGTTTCACAAAATAAAACGGAGCAAAAAAAAAAACTCATGAGCCTGCTCTACATAGAAAACAACAATGTAATTCTGGAAATGTTTACTTTCATAGTGTTGAGATTGTACACAAGACTGCTGGTGTATTAAGTGTTTAAAGGCCTGTCCACTCGGAGCGCGAAAAAGCTAAACGAATATCGGCCGCGCTGGAATAAAACAACAGATTCCTATGGATGCTTCCACACAGACCGCGAACATTCACGCACCGAAAATGCGAATGTGTTTTTTCGAACCAGTCCGACAATTCTTTTCAGTTTCGCAAAGCGAAAACATGGGCCATCCAATAAGATCTGAGCATTACATCACATGGCCAGAGTAACTGCTTGTTACCCAAAAGGTCGATGCAGTAGCGCTAAAAGCTCAGAAGACATTGAGCACGAACGTAAAAACACCCAAGTAGAGGACTTTCAAGAGGGACGTACCTTCGAGTCATAGGCAGACTGCTGGATGACCTCCGGGGCCATCCAGAACGGTGTACCTACAAACGTCTCTCTTTTGATCTGCGTGTCTGTCAGCTGTCCCGCCACACCGAAGTCTGCCAGCTTCACCTCACCAGACTCAGACAACAACACGTTGGCAGCTGTAACCGTGTAAAAACAAGACACAATGGAGACCAACAGACATGGCAGCTTTTACTATTACTCAAATAAACAAAAACTGATGAATTTTTCCATTTCACGATGTATTAAATGTTTTCACAGTAGGAACAGGAGAGACCATGTAGTCAAAGAGATAATTTCAACACCTTTGCAACATGTTACGTTGTTTTTGGGCTACTTTTGACTGCAATCATCCGCAGTACATAAACACATGCCTTTGAAACATTCTGTTTGTAAGTAAGTCTTTTTTCACACATTCACATGGCCATGACTCACTGATGTTGGTCACATTTTACATCTAACCTTTTTTTAGTAAGCGTTTTATTTTGATTGTTAATTTTTTAATTGTTGACATATATAGGGCTGCATGTCTTGGGCATAAAATTATATTGTGATTATTTTGTTATATATTGCAATTGCAATTTGAATTTTATTTCAAATGAAAATGTCTCACATTGCTACAGTCCAGACACAAACAACAGAATTGCTCCTAATAGAAATAGGGCTACAGATGAATCATATTGTGATCATGGTAACTGCTTCTCTCAATTTATTAAGCATTATCGTTTGCGATATTTGCTGTTTTAATATCCTGAAAATGCTTCATTTTCATTCGCCATTTGCGTTATCCTGCATTGGTAACAAGCCTCCACAAACTTCAAAACTTCAAACACAAACTTTTCCTAACATGGCAACCACGCGCACAAGCTCTCTTTACATTACAGAGTAAGTAAGTCTTTTTTCACACATTCACATGGCCATGACTCACTGATGTTGGTCACATTTTACATCTAACCTTTTTTTAGTAAGCGTTTTATTTTGATTGTTAATTTTTTAATTGTTGACATATATAGGGCTGCATGTCTTGGGCATAAAATTATATTGTGATTATTTTGTTATATATTGCAATTGCAATTTGAATTTTATTTCAAATGAAAATGTCTCACATTGCTACAGTCCAGACACAAACAACAGAATTGCTGCTAATAGAAATAGGGCTACAGATGAATCATATTGTGATCATGGTAACTGCTTCTCTCAATTTATTAAGCATTATCGTTTGCGATATTTGCTGTTTTAATATCCTGAAAATGCTTCATTTTCATTCGCCATTTGCGTTATCCTGCATTGGTAACAAGCCTCCACAAACTTCCATGGTTGCAGTTGCTAGATGTCAAGTCCCCCAATTTTTAATGGATACTTTCATAAATGAATACATTTTCTGACCACTGGTTTACTTAATTTTCCTAACATGGCAACCACGCGCACAAGCTCTCTTTACATTACAGAGAAAGCGCTGATGAGCTGAAAATACTGGCAAACACGTAAGCTGGAGTTTGTCGATCTCTATTAAGATATTCAGCTCAAATGAAAGTGTAATAAAAACAGTGTTTTCTTTCACATGGCTATTTGTGCTGTTTGCTGCAAATAAATCTGCAAGCAAACCATGAGCAAACCAAAAACTAAAAAAACAATAATCATGTTTAATAATCATGAATATATATTTGAGCAAAATAATTGTGATATACCATTATCCTGCAGCCTTACTTTTAAGGGTATTCAACTCTACACTCTTTATTCTTTAAAAAACTACTAACACTACAATAAAATATACACTGCCGTTCAAGTTTGGGATCAGTAAGATTTTTTATGTTGTTTTTTTTAAGTGACTTGTGCTCATCAAGGCTGCATTTATTTGATCAAAAATACAGAAAAAATAGTAAAAATTGTGAAATATTATTGCAATTCCAAGTAACAGTTTTCTATTTTAATATACTTTAAAATATTATTTATTCCTGTGATGCAATGCTGAATTTTCAGCATCATTACTCCAGTCTTCAGTGTCACATGATCCTTCAGAAATCATTCTAATATGCTGATTTGGAACTGAATGGAAACAGTTGTGCTGCTTAATATTTTTTGGAACCTGTGATGCTTTTTTCAGGGTTTTTAAAATAGAAACCTTCTGTAACAACATACACTACCATTTAAAAGTTTGAGGTCAGCAAATTTTCTTTCTTTTTTTTCAGCACAGACTTAAATTGAAAGTGTTAAATTGATCAAATAAAAGTACTAGTCAAGACTTATATTGCTAGAAAATATTTCTATCTTGAATAAATGTTGTTCTTTTTAACTTTTTATTCATCAAAGAATCCTGAAAAAAGCATCACAGGTTCCAAAAAAAAAAATCTTAAGCAGCACAACTGTTTCCAACATTGATAATAAATCAGCATATTAGAATGATTTCTGAAGCATCATGTGACACTGAAGACTGAAGAAATGATGCTGAAAATTCAGCTTTGTCTTAAATTCTTCATTTTCAAATGTTCAAACCCTCAACTCAAGGTTTTAAGATGTAAAATCCTTTATCAAATCACAAGTTTAAGGTTGAGCTCCAGTCCTTTCAAAACGATAATAATAATAATAATAATAACACAAAACTACTGAAGACACAACACCAATCAGTGCAGCTATTTGCAGACCAGCCATCCGGAATCTACCTCACCCTGCATAGTTCAAACAAGTGGAAAAACAAACGGCAGTGGAAAAACAAAGTCGTCACACCCACTCATCCAAGCAGACACAAATATTCCTCTGCGTACACACCTTTTATGTCCCTGTGGATTTTCTTCTCACAGTGCAGGTAGTCCAAACCTTTCAAAATCTCCTTCAGCATGGTGGCTATCTGGCATTCGTCAAAGGGTCCAGCTCTCAGCTGCACACACACACACGCACACACACACACACACCAGGTTGAGGGTGTAGGGCTCATGATCGCTCGCAGATAAAGTCAAAGCACTTACCAGGTCCAGAGCCGAACCTCCTCCCAGATATTCCATTATGATCCATAGTTTACTACCCTAAAGGAAAAACAAGACATTTAGATATGAACTCAGAGGTAGGAAAGCACTGAAAAATTTCAATTATGACCAACTGTGTAATAGCTCTGATTCACTGAGTGAGTCAACTCAAAAGTGAGTTTCGTAATGTAATCTTTTTGTCTGACTTTTGTTGTTGGTACAGGAAACACTGGCAAGCATGATATCTGATGAATATATCATCACATTTTATGAGAGAAGTAACTATAATGGGATTATGACATATGTCAGAGGAGTGAATGTGAGATCACCGGCAATCAATCTCTTATTAGTTGACACAGCTTTTGTTTTTCCTTATTTTTTATTAACTTGTCCTTCTGCGTTCAAACTGTAGACCAAAAGCTGTTGTTGTTGAAATTATAATGTATGTTTATATTTAAAAGCTTTCTCATGCACAATGTATAGCATACCCTATATTTACGCTGTTGTTTTGTTTTATTTTTATTCAGCCTTCAATTTGGATGAGACCACTGGCCAAGATATGGTATTTTCTTTTCAAAAGATACAGAAGAAAACGGCTTTTTTATTCAATTAATTAAACTAAGAAATAATCAACCTATCAGAATAATTATTAGCAGCAGCCTTACTTAAATATTAGAAATACAAACATCTTAAAACAACAGCATGTAGCCTTAAAATATTTCAAGATGAACAGGTTCACCCCAGAATAAACTCTTTCACCCTCATATAATTCTAAACTTCTATGGCTTGCTTTCTCCTGTGAAAGACAAAAGAAAATATCTGAAGAATCTCTCAGTTGTTTTTGTTCATATTATGAAAGTCAATTGTGACCCAAATAAGACAAATACAGCAAAGCCTGAAACACTGACTAACCTCACTGGTTCTCGCATGTATATTGTAGATATTTGACAATATTTGCTTTGAAAGTGCATTCAGAAAACTTAAAATACACCTGTTTTGAGTCATAAGGATTTTCACTCAGCCTTTATGCAATTTTTTGGGGCATTAATGTACTGGGTTAAACTGACTTTCATAATATGTACAAAACTTCTGTTGTACCATTCCCTTCAGATAACTTTTGTATCTTTTTGGAATGATATTAAGGTGAGTAAATTATGAAAATTTTCATCACAGTTCCACAGTAAAATTCCAGATAGTTAGTATTATCGTTCCATGTTTTAATTATGATTAAAATTGTGTTTGAGTAAATATGTAAATATGGTCAAGTGCAAAATGCATGTGCAGCAGTAATCTTCCCCATACGTCACGTTATATATTGAGAACACTATTGTAATAGAATGGGTATAGAATGTAATAGAATAGAATACTATGTTTTTGTTGTGTGTGTATTGGATTAATCTCATATAGGATGCGGTTTGGTTGAGTTAATTAACCCACTACAAAAGCAATTCAATTACAGGCAATGCCCAACATTATTGACTATAATTGGATTATCTGAAACAATAACATTCCATTTAAATGTTCATTTTCAAAAACACCGATACATTATTAATAATCCAGCAGTGATATTTTTTTCATCATATTACGGGCAACAGTACGTATAAATTAAGTTACTCTTCATGGCTAAAAATCACAGTTCCACAGTAAAATTCCAGATAGTTAGTATTATCGTTCCATGTTTTAATTATGATTAAAATTGTGTTTGAGTAAATATGTAAATATGGTCAAGTGCAAAATGCATGTGCAGCAGTAATCTTCCCCATATGTTACGTTATATATTGAGAACACTATTGTAATAGAATGGGTATAGGATGTAATAGAATAAAATACTATGTTTTTGTTGTGTGTGTATTGGATTAATCTCATATAGGATGCGGTTTGGTTGAGTTAATTAACCCACTACAAAAGCAATTCAATTATAGGCAATGCCCAACATTATTGACTATAATTGGATTATCTGAAACAATAACATTCCATTTAAATATTCCTTTTCAAAAACACAGATACATTATTAATAATCCAGCAGTGATATTTTTTTTCATCATATTATGGACAACAGTACGTATAAATTAAGTTACTCTTCATGGCTAAAAAAAACATGCAGCAATGTCTGGAAGAACTTGATATACAAGATGTACAGCAAGATGTACAGTGCGCCAAGCTGTCATATACATAACACTATCATGAGAACACTACTGTAATACAACGTTGTGAATTCTTTGTGTTTAGTTGCCTGTGTTTTAGCGCATTGTTACGGAAAGAGTGCATTCATAACAGGAGTTACATTCTGACTAGCACATCATTTAGTTCAAGTTCACTTGTGCATTCACAGCATTTTGTGTAGATAGAAAAACGTTGTAATATATTTCTGTTGTGCATGCATGTAGCCTATCGGTTTAATTTAATAGAGGATGCAGGTTAAATAGTGCTAATTAACCCAATAGTGCCTTAGTTTACCGACTTGATCATCTGAAACAATCATAGTCCTTAAATTCTTCTTTTTCAAAAACACTGATGATGCATGATTAATAATCTAGCGGTGTTATTTTTCTCATTATATTGTCATCAACAGTATGTTTTAATTAAAATCTTCTCATTATCACCATGATGTACATACTCCTCTGTTTTACTGATACATCGAGTCCTTGAAAGGATAAAAATGCACTTTGCTTTGCTTAACTAAGGTTGTGTTCATTTAAACCTGCACTAAGTAGGGTTTACCTCTTATGGTCACCTGGTGCCATCTTAAATATTAACAGTTAATTTTTAACAGCACCACCAGTATTTAATAACACTATAACAGTAATAATTTGTCACTATAACTGTGATATGAAACTTTCATCTCTAATAAAGAATGTGGATGTTACATGATGAAAACAATGCATTGTTATTTTACAATTGGTGACTTTATTCAACTTCTGAAGTATTTCTGTCCTAAATACTACCATTAGACCTACCTAAAAACTTTAAACACTGTTTATTTAATTTGTATCTTTGTTCTGTTGTATTTGTTTGTGCTATTGTAGTAACATTTGTTTGTCTGTTCTTATTTTATTACTGACTATTTACTTGTTTTCAACCATTGTTAAACTTTATATTAGTTCATATTTTACTATGTGGTATTGAAATTGGAAATGTGAAAATTCACTGGTATGTAAAATGTTGGTGTTGTAACAACTTTATTACATAGGTCAAAAAAAATCTGATCACCACAAAATTTGCATTTAAATGGGTGTACACCATTTTCCTCGCACATAATGTGATTTATTTATTTATTTATTTTTAATTAAAAAAATGCAAGTCTTTCAATACTGAAGATGTTTTAGCAACATAGACAGTACAATGACACACACTAGGGGGCTCGTTAATTCATATACTCCTAGTGTCTTGTTCTGTTAATGTGGTAGTGTCACATGGATGGGAATATGCATATGGAAATTATATGCATATAAGGTAATGCATAGTGAAACTAGGCATTGCAGGCACCATATAGCCTATGGTTATTTTGGGGAGGAAACAGGATGGGGGAAAAGTCTTGTGCATGTGTGCACAATTTTTAACTTAAAAAAATTATAAAGGGAATATTGTGCAGATTTTAATGCACATGTGGTTTTATCAATCTGAAAACTGTGTATGCAAAATCTACTTTATGTCCATTATGCACACTTTTAGTTGTAATCTGCACGTTTCATACACAAGGCCCCTGTTCTTTTTTTAACTTGATACTTAACCGTGATGCAGACTTGTCATCATTTGTTGGAAACAAACACTGGCCATCGATGCACACAGACACACAAAGCGGCCAGACAAAAAGCGCACGTTCTGTCTGGCAGCCTTCCAGAAATACAGGTACTGTGACATAGCACAAAGGGTTTGGCCATGAGTCACCAATGGCATCAAATCTTTACAAACAGCTTCCGAACTCCCCATTAAAATATATCCTCAGCCCTCTTTTGTATTTATTTTAATCCAAAGGCAACCATGCGTACTGTGCATGTACTAGTGTTACAAACAATGCACAGCACTACAGTGCTATGATAATATTGTGCTACTCATGCCTCAAAAAACCTGAGGCTGGGAACAGAGAACCGGTGATTATCTAGAACAATACTAGAACCGTGCGTAATTCTTAAATTTTGGTTCCGAAAACAGTTCTGGTGCGACATCTGGGCAAAGAGCTTATCCTTTAATGGTGATATGGACTAGTGTCTGTGAATATTAAAGCGCAAAAAGACTGCTATTTGAATGAAGTCCGCATGTTCTGTGTGTATGTGTGTGAATGCTTGGTGTACTACACATACTGAAGACTATTAATTTTTTTTCTTTTCAATTAAAAATATTAAGGAAAATGATATTAATATTTAATGCTTTTTGTTTTTATTACTTACTGTCAAAATATTTTAATAGAATGGTACTATCAACAAATTCAAAATATAGTATTTTACAAATTTTGTTAAACTAATCCATTTTTTCTGAAGCAAAATCAAAACCTAACCTATTTAACCCTTGAATTAATTCCTATCCGATGATAAAGAATGTGCAACATACAAGTAGTACAAGGGCTTTTCTGTGCTGAATTCCATTCTCGATTCCATTCTAATGGTTTAATTAAATTGTAATCATTAAAAAGTATGTCTAGCCAATTAATTTCGTAAGACATTTACAAAATGTAATTTATTTAAAAAAATTAACAATAAGAAGGGCCTTTGAAAAGTTTTTTTCCCAAATGCTGTGTTGTCCATTTTAATTTTTCTGTATGTCACTTTTTTTCTGGATTAAAGATTTCATACAAATGTAAAATCAAAACTAGTGGTAATCAAATGAATTCATAAAACTATAGCCATTCAATCTTTTAAAGTGAATGAAAACAATTTACAACAAAACATTGCATTTCTATTATTTATCAACTTGCTGTAATAGAGGCTTACTATATAAATTAAAACATTGTATTATTATTATGTCATTTAAAAAAAAAAAATTAAACTGAACTTTTATTTTGGCGAGTTGTCGTGACTGCGCTCTTAAGGAAATATTACCACTCCGCTCCCCGCTCACATGCTCTGGATACAATAAGACTGTATCTATATCCAAGTTTTTGCAAGAGTGCAGAACTCTGTAAACTTGCGCTGAACTGAATTGATTATGAAGGGAGCTGTATACAACCCATTCAATTTGAATGAAATTTGTTCTTTTTTAATGCTGCACGCAGCATAGTTTCAGGAGTGACATCCGTATTTAAATATTAGATTGAATCTAAAACTGCAAAGACTGACATAGTGATCATCATAGCAACGGATGAGACAAAAACTTTAAAAAAAGCAATATTTACTTAAAAAACATTTGAAGGCTACATGCTGTTTTAATGTATTACTTACTTATTATTATCATTAATAATTAACATAGAATTCTTTTTTTTTTTTAAATTGGTCTCAGATAGAGTTCCAATAGTTTTTGCTATACCAAGAACTGAGGAATTTTACTGTTATTGGCACCCACTACTGACATTTTGTTATTGTGACAACACTACTAGCACAGCTAATGTGTGGAAAAAGTCAAAGTCAATCCATACCTTTAAGTAAGAGCCATAGTATTTGGTAACATGAGGACTATCACACTGGCTGAGTACGGTGATCTCCTGTTGGATGTCTTCGATTTCATCTTCTGCCTCCTCAAGATCGATGGTCTTGATGGCCACTACGTTTTGAGTGCGGCGGTCGATGCCTTTGAACACCTCACCGAACGAGCCCTTCCCGATACGCTCTAGTTTAGTGAACAACTCCTCAGGGTCTGTTCGGCTGTTCTGGAATACAAAAGTTACAGAGTTAGTTTGAGTTGACTAGATTAGGTAGTCAACTGGTTAACTATACATCTCAGGTAAATTTGCTGTAATCACATATTTGGAATGCAAGTTTATAGTATAAAATAAGACTATTAACATAAAATCTCTGATATTCAACACTAAAAGACCTCTCCCTTTCTTTATAAACCATGTTTCACTGCACCAAAAACATGTACAGTTGCTTGATTATTTTCCTTCAGTTTTACAAAAGGCTCAACAAGGAACAATGAAGATCAAAGACAAGTAGTTCGTAAGTGTTTATATCAGAGAGAATGCCAATGCCACATTGGGTTAATCAATAATATTCCAAGAAACCTTTGGGAGGGGAGCTCTACAAATCAATATATGCAGCGGTTTAACTGGTATCGGTTACCTATTGCAGATACAGTTATTTCACCGCATCCAATACGGAGTTTTGTTGCGTTTAGTCTGTTTATTAGCTTTAAAGTCCACATGAAAAGTCTGCATGAAATCAAAACAAGGTTATTTACGGGAGTTGGGGAGGGATAGATTGTCCGACGCATGTGCATATGTTCAAGGGCACCTTTATGCACTAGAAAGCCATATCCTGCTTGCTGTCAATTACACACACACACACACACACACACACACACAGTTGAATGAGTATATAAACATGCATAATGTTTCATGGTTGAAGTAAAATACAATGGCAATCACAGGCTCCATTGAACAGGATTTGCGCGGTGAGAAACATGCACTTTGCTTGACCCTCATCGGTATTTCAGTTTTTCTCTTCTAAATGCTCCACAAAGGCATCACTTGGAATGTAACATAAATTTGATAATGAAACTATTGACAGGCGGCTGTTTTCAAACACTTCCCTTCCCAACACTTGATAAATTCCACCATCAATCTGTGTCTGAAGTTGGTGACTTATCCACTTATCCAATATAGTCAAATCCATATTCACAATATATGGAAAAGGGAGAGCATTGTGAGAAACCTGGAAAATGGTATTACCAGTGTTTAACGGTTTAAATCGGTCTGACAAGTCATTGACTGCATGAAGATTGGAGATTGTAGCTCACTTAGGGTGCTTTCACACCTGTAGATCGATTGCTTTGTTCCGAAACAGGGATTACAATTATTACAATGTTGCTTTTTATTCTTGGTGCGGTTCGCTTTCACACGTCAAAGTTTCTAAACGGACCAAATTTGTTAATACAAGTCACGTGCGAGTAAACTGTTCTCTCATTGGTCAACGTTTCACGGTTCATTTTCCGGGATTCCACTAGCTGTCACGGCTGTCCTCCGTCAGGATGGAACGACAACAGCTTTGCGGGCTTATTGTTGTTTTGAAAAATCACTTACTCTGCCTTTAATTTTGAGGTATTAGCAAAACAACAAAGCTAATGTTTTTTATGGAACTTACATAATTACCCATCATAAATTGTGATGTAGCCTAATTTGTTGTTCCGTTGGATCGGATTGCTTTCTCACTACAACCGAACCGCTCCAGTGCTCGTTTTCAATCGAGCCGAGACCACCTCGTTCAGGCGATCTCAGACCGATTGTTTTGGCGCGGATCCGAGCGAGATTGCCATGTTCACATATGCCCAAACGAACCGAGCTAAGGGGGGAAACGCACCAGGTTCCGAAACAACAGGCCAGGTGTGAAAGCACCCTTACTGAACTGCAATAATTTCACCTATGTCTGTTTTGAAGAAAATTTAGTGAAACTGAAGGTTCATGAAACTTGAATCAATGTATTTACTGGATTAACCAGGCATTTATATTGAATAACGATAGGCCTATATAGTTTCTCTTAAGTTTCCTATAAAAATGTTTTAACCCTTGTGCATCCTTAGGGACATTTTTGTCTTTTAGTTTTCTGATTTTGGCTGTGTTAATGCAAACAGCATACAGTTAGTCAAAAAAAGTGTATTTTTATTGGAATGTAAATATTTTACCATCAATTCCTTTTATAAATCTATTTTACACTGGGCACAAAAAAATTGCACTCAGAACCTTAAGGAAAAAAAATGTTTCCACGGACACCCATTAAAATATTTAAATTATTTAACACCAGTGCCATTTAAGCATTAAATCATGCATCCTTTGTTAATAGCCTTTTATTCTGTTGGTGAGCCTTCAAAATTTACAATTTTTAAATTTTTTTACTATTTTCCACCTGATAGTACACATGGAGCAAATACTCACTTTTTCCTGTTTTGTGCTTCTGCTGAAAAAAGGCCAACTGAATTGAAATTATGGAATTATTGGTATGGATATCAAGAGTGTGTTCTGTATGCGAGTGTTGAGAAATATGTGTGTGTGTGTGTGTGTGTGTGTGTATAAGGTAGTTTAAAATAATCTGACACTGCACAAAAATAATAATGCATCAGAATGAATGTTTTTCCTAATCGGCGTTCTGACTTTTTGACATTGTCCTCTAACTTGTTTAAATTGACACACAAGGGCTAATTATGGTGCAATGTATTTCACTGTTGAAATGACATGACCTATGGTGTTTCACTAAACATCGGAGTGAATCCTCACGCTCACTGGTTGCTGTCTTTGTATATATTCTAGTAGCATAGTGTTGTTTGTAAATGCAAGGAGTAAAAATAAGTCATTGGATACACTTACTATCATGCTTTACTAGTGGAGACAAGAAGAAACGCTCTGTAGCAATAAGACAGAATTAAAAAAAAAAAAAACGAGAGCAAACATGTGTGTCCAACACAAGGTATAAATATTTGATGGAGAAAATCATGAGAATGGACGCCCAACAAAAACGTTTTTGGACAGGTAAGATAATTAATTATTGCGTAGACTACTCTCTAAATCTCACTAGCATCAGTGTAATTTACAAAAAACTCAAAGACAATCATGCAGATCCACATCTATAGATGGCAGTGCAGCATCTAACGCCATTGAGGCATTACCACTTAATGCACCTTTTTAAAACGGACTAGTTTATAAAGCTGATTTCTTTGCAATTTGGGCTTAAAAGACCATTAATATTTAGTAATATTGTCGATTCAACTGCACTGATGCTATCAGATGAGAACAAAACTTGAGCTGAATAATGACTAACTCTGCAACATTGACACTCATTCATTTGGAAACTGACATAAGGACCTATATTTTTTTTTAGTAGTTTTTTTATTAAGTTTTTCAAAAACATGCACATTGTGATATCATCTGCAACCAAATATTAAAGAATATGAAAATATGGCTTTTGCTTATATCTCTCACCCCAAATTCTGCATTTATGACATGTTTGATAATTGTTGGTTAACCTTTTTAACTGGTTAACCGTTTAAAAGAATTCACCAAAATTTGCATCCATAATTGCTGTCTACCAAAATTCTAAGAATACCATGATACTTTTTTGCTTGATTTGCAAATTCAGATAATGTGCAGTGACAGGTTTTGTGGTAAAATAATTTATTTAAACACCGAATGTGGCTTGTATAGTTAGAATTCACGTCCAATTAGACTGGTCTTTGGGCATCTCCGATGCGGTTTAGATCCAGTGAAGCAGCAGTGATGAGCCATACCCTGCTCCACCGTCTGCGTCCTTCTGATAAACCGCTGTGCACAGACCGGTACGTTAATGACCAGGCTATCTGTATGTTAACAAGCTTGCAACGAGGGTGTGAACGTACCCCACAAGATTTATCAGCTGGATGCATTTCCTCCACTATACAAACACATGAACTGGCAACAAAGAGGTACACACCTCAGGGGCTGTGGAAATGCATTTGGGAAAACGTACCCATGTGCACTACATGACACAACAAGCTGTCATCGTGTTCCTTCAGACTTTCGCTGTACCTGACGCGGGTGTTAACCATGGGAAACCAGCGCTCGAAACACTTCCTTGCAGGCCACACCCAGACACTACGCCTGAGAACGACACTCCTTCATACTTCTGGAGCTATAACACATCACTTCTATGATTGGACAATTGTATCGCCTATTTAGAATAATTGCACTTTAAACCCCAGGCAGACTCACAAAATAAACATTAAAAAGGCGTCACAAGTGTAACATTAATGAGCAAAGTTACCCACCTCTGTTACCCATCTGCTGTGCATAATGATTAACAATACCACCCAGTTGTCATAGCAGAGAAGTCAACGTACGTGTGTGTGTGTGTGTGTGTGTGTTATTCCAGGAAGGAGCACATGCTTAGTTGTGGTGTTCTGGATCAGTGACATTTCTGACCTCCGTCTGTTATCAAAAAAGGAACAGAGCTGAAGTTCTAATGCGCCGCCAACCAAACACGGCTTGATTCCAAGCGTCTACCGAGTGTGAAGTTGAGACAGCGGCCACAAAACGGAACCACATTCAGACTTCCTGTGCTGCAAGGAAGGCTGTCACACAAAACAGCTTAAAACACAAGGATTACATCACTGTCCTAGATCACGAGCAGCAAAAGCAGACTCATTATGCTTTATAAAGAGAGATGGGAACAAGAGTGAGTGCTAGCACACCTTTAGGGAGCAGATGCCACCTTATACACAAATATCTGCTCCATCATTAGACCAGGAGCATAGAGATATCCAAATATAGACTGATCCGGACCACAAATCAGCTCATAGTGACTAAGCCATCCATTCAGTCATATACACAAATAAATACACTTAGAATCCATTAATATGCTCCTTAATGCAACATACTGGAAAACAGCTCAAGGAAATAATTAGATATCAGATGCATGTTGCTCATTGGTGTTTCTAATTTCTGAAACATATAATGATGCTATAATTAATATAAAAACATAATGCTACTAAACATGAGTCACCAATCATTTTAATATTTCCCATGTAGCAGTAACTACAGTAGAAACTGTCACATTTTTATAAATCAGAATGACATTAGATATCATGAGCTCAAATTCAAATGTCCAGTAAACTGTGAAGTGTGAACTGCATATTAATATTAAAAACAAAATCAATGTCTGTGTGACGAGTGGGGGCGGGGCCGAGAGCCGTGGGAACGGAGCGAGGCCGGTGGAGTGATTGCTAATGAGGGACACCTGCACCCACTCACCACAGTCTGTTTTGTATTACTTAACTTGGAGACATTTACTTTTTTCATAATCTAGCATTGTAATATGTGACCCTGGAACACAAAACCAGTCGTAAGTAGCTTGTAACACTCCAAAGAGAAAGGAAAAATTGAAATCGCATCATATGACCCCTTTAAAAGCGATTTTCTCAATATTTTGATTTTTTTGCGCCCTCAGAATCCAGATTTTCAAATAATTGTATCTCGGCCAAATATTGTCCTATCTTAACAAACCATACATCAATGGAAAGCTTATTTATTCAGCTTTCAGATGATGTATAAATCTCAATTTAAAAAAAACTGACCCTTATGACTGGTTTTGTGGGCCATGGTCACATTTGACAACAGTTTATAACAACTTTCGTCGTCCTACACAACACATTTAACTTGAATAGACACAAGTAAGTTATGCCATAACAAAAAGAGTATCGCTAAATTACTATTGCGCAGGTATCAGAGGATAATGCCATGGTACTATAACATTTACTCATTTACATTGGTAGTAGATAATTACCATATGCGTGTACCATGGCACTTTAAATAATCTAAAAGAATACAGTGGTACGTGCACAAAAACATGGCTTTTCTATAGTACGATTTAAAAAATGGTACTTTTTTGAAAAGTTGTTAAAGAACTGACAGAAGCGAATGTAAAGATGCAACATGGATGATTCATGAGTAATGCAGGTTAGCCTATGATTATGATGATGATGGCCTGGCTTTACCTTTCCACACAAACTCACCTGCATTCCAGGAACTTGAACAGCTACCGGCGACTGAGCCATCTCCACCCGTCCACAGACACACTACACAGCGAATAAACTCTCGGAGAGACACTTAAAGAGTTCTTTTTCTCACACTACTTTGTATTAAATTACATATATTACTATATTTACACTCTATTCACACTGTTCGCGAAACTCGTCGCGACGCCAAACTCTTGAGCTAGCTGCGCTCTGCTAGCTTTAAAGTCGACACTCGGTGACCATAATTCCTTCGTCAGGCGGACTTTTTGTTATTTGTATGAGATCCAGACGGTCGTCGGTGGCTTGTTACACGCTTTTGGCGAGAGTTTGCGGAGAGTTTGTTCTTCAGGAGATCCTCTTTGCCGCCATGACTCGCGCAGCGCTCGCGGAGTTGTTTTGTGCTTCAGCTCTGGCCGTTGGGTGGAGCACACAGACACTGCGTCACTAACGCTGCTGCCACCATCAGGAGCTTCACCACACACTGTGAACTGCTCGGGGTGGACTTTTCTAATTTTGTTAAAAATTATTTATGTTTAAACTTCTGTATAACCCCCCAAAAAATGCGTTTTTGGTTACTCGTTGAATCTAGACCCTTATCACTTTAAATGTATTAATTTATTGCTATTTCTTGCCAAATTTTACATTCATAAATGTACATTTTCAAAGAAAACTTTTTTTGATTAAAAAAAAAGATACTTAAGATTTAAGAAACTCTAATAATTTTATTGCATGTAAGACTATTTCATGGTGTGTGTTCTTATAAGCTAACATAGTATGCTATGGATTAATGTATGTAACCCTCATTGCCTTTTGTTCTTATTCTGTCTTTGTATTTGTATATCTTGTTCTTTTGTTGCATAATAATAATAAAAAGCTTCACCACACACATTTCTCCATGCTGTTGCCTTGATATAGCCTATTTACAGTTGATGTCAAAAGTTTACATACACCTTGCAGAATCTGCAAAATGTTAATTATTTTACCAAAATAAGAGGGATCATGCAAAATGCATGTTATTGTTTATTTAGTACTGAGCTGAATAAGATATTTCACATAAAAGATGTTTACATATAGTCCGCAAGAGAAAATAATAGTTGAATTTATAAAAATGACCCCGTTCAAAAGTTTACATCCCCTTGATTCTTAATACTGTGTTGTTGCCTGAATGATCCACAGCTGTGTGTTTTTGTTTAGTGATAGTTCTTCATGAGTCCCTTGTTTGTCCTGAACAGTTGTCCTAGACAGAAAAATCCTTCAGGTCCCACAAATTCTTTGGTTTTCCAGCATTTTTGTGTATTTAAACCATTTTCAACAATGACTGTGTGATTTTGAGATCCATCTTTTCACACTGAGGACAACAGAGGGACTCATATGCAACTATTACAGAAGGTTCAAACGCGCACTGATGCTCCAGAAGGAAAAACCATGCATTAAGAGCCGGGGGGTGAAAACTTTTGAACAGAATGAAGATGCGTACACTCTGTCTTCAACTCTTCTGTTATAAAAAGATAAGTGATAAACTTTTATGCTCTCTCTCTTAAGAGAGGTAAGAAGGGGGAAGATGTCCCCCTAAAGGACAGTGTGGATTTACTTTTAGATTTTATATGTTTAAACGTCAATTATTAAAAAAGGGGGAAATTGCACATCAGATTCCAAAAATTAAGAAATTCACAATACTTTCATAATTTACTGATTCTCCCTAATTCCTCTTTTCCATCTTTTAAATCTTCCTTTCTAAAGTAGCCTACCGCTTATATATGAAAGTCTTCCAGTTTGGACATTCACACAAAGACCAGTCACTATAGTCAGGTAAATATAATTACACAGAAAATTGAGACGCCACACTGCATTTGACTGCTGGATTTACAACTGAAGAGACTGGAAAAAGCGTAGCGCCAGACACAAGCCCAACTCCAATGAAGTTCATAAACATCTGGCGGTGCGTAGAACCGAAAATAGTTCAAATATCAAAAAACAAATAAGATCCGCACACGAAAATAGGCCAAACTGCTCATATAAATGTATTATCCAGAGGCCACAAATAAAGTGCAAAGGTACAAAATTGTTTGAGCAGTTTGGCCTATTTTTCTTACTTGTTTTTTGACCCCTGGATTTACAGAAATCATTTCACGTTTAAGAAGCGTTTTCTCAACATTGCTTCAACTACTGATGAATACATTCATTTTTATTTCAATCAGTAGGTTATTCAACCACGTATTACTGTCTTTGGGAGGCTTTCGTCTTTCAAACACATTAAAATGCACAAATTCACTTTATTTCTTAATTTACATTTAATGCAGGGATTCCCAAACTTTTTTTGTCATCTGAACCTCTTTTTCAGGTAAACAAACTAAATATTTCCGTTTTTAGTGTTTTATTTTGATTGGTTATGTTTTAAAATTATTTATTTTAACGTTTATGATTTAATTGTTAGCTTTTCATTAAACTCACAAACCCCCTGCAGTTCCTTTACGAACTAGTTTGGGAAACCTTGACATAATGTAATGTTTAATGCACTTCATGATTGTTAATAACAATGAATGGAATATATTTTCTTCTTTGTATTTTTATATCAAGATGGTACAAGATTAACCTGTTTAAATCAATGTGATAAACGAGTAATCCAAAACTACTAGTCCGATTATATTACCTAGAATGTGTAACGTAATGGATTATGTTACTAACTACAACTTTTGCTGTGTAATTTGGAATCCGTAACGGATTACAATTTTAAAGTAACTTAAGCTCTGTTGATATTTACGTATTTTTAAAGTGTCATAAAAAAAAGTTTTTCGAATAATTGAATAACCAACGACAGAAAAATTGAATAGCACACGATTGACGGCAGAAAGAGTTGCAAGTTACTACTATACTGAATACTTGAATAAACTCCTGACTCTAAGTGTGAGCCTTAGCAAGCACCCGTCATTCAAAAAGGAAACAATAATATATGTGATAAATGCAAGATAATGGATAATTCCAAATTTTAAAACGTGAAAAGATTCACACAGTTTTTGCATGATAACATTTTAATGTGAGGCACTGTCGAGAGCTACGGTATGTCTTGCCTTTACAAAGGAATGGACACACTGGACGTCGAGAGTGGTTAATGTGTACAGTGGGGAATGAAACCGTAATATTGGTCCACATCCACATTTCTATGGCTATTCACTCAGACCAGCTGAGAAAGTGAATTAAGTCAATGTCTGCTAGCCATTGAACAAGAGGACAATATTTCATATTGTCTTGCATGACAGTATCCAACATAAAAATACAAGTTTTCAGATCTGGGTGTAGGATATAGGCAACATACTGCAACTGGTCAACACTTAAATAGCAATTAAAAGGGGATTAAAAGAAAACTGTTACTGTAAGAGGCCAACTCAATGGACTGAAATGACAGGGAACATACAGGTAGTGGTTATATTTTCAAGAAAGGTTACCTACTAACTGTACGGGGTGTGAAATCAGTATGTATCACACTGGAGTGAAAGTCTGGAGAGTTCTGCATTGAAAACCTCAGTCTTCTAATGGTTTTCATTGGCTAGCCTCAGTCACATATGGTAGCAGCCTATCAGATGCAGAAATGATTGACGTAAATAATGCTTTTATACCAATGATTTTCTTCCACAGAAAAGGCTGCAATCACAGTGTAAATGAGGAACCGTCGTGTGTTCCCACAGAGAAAAAATCTTGCAGATTCAGAACGAATGTTTAGATGTAGCTAAGACCGACGGATGAGTAACTGAATGCCTACACCACACATGGATTTAAAATACAGAAAACACACAACTGGTAAAAAAACGAAACACTTTGCTTATTTACAGATTAGACGGTCTCTCGGCGAGTCCTTTGACTTTGAGTTGTCTGGAAAGTTCAAAGATCCGCTCCAGAAGGCAACAGGTCCCATCTATGGATTTTACAGACACAAGGCTATGGTATACAAAACGCTTGGGAGTCAGTATTTGAGCTTAAGAGTCTTTCCTTAAGAGTCTCAGGAGAAGCATCTGTGTAGATTGGATTTTTCTTCGTAAATGGTACGTCCTGAAGCGGAGCCCAGCGCATAGTGCTATACTGTTCATGAACAGCCGAACGAGGACAGAGCTTTGAATGTTAGTCTGGCATGTCGATGCACAGTTTGGGAGGCGGCACAAAGTATTTCCCAGGACTTTGGGTGACCACCACACCCGTCTTCTTACGAAGCATGGGAGGGATTTTAGGCACCTCGTGGATGGGCAATTCCTCGGACACCTCGGAGTCCTCGTGGTGCAGGTCATAGGATATGTTGCCATACTCCCTCAGGAAGGGGAAGAGTTCGAGAAGAAACTGGCAGAAGTCTTTGCGAATGCCAAACCACCCTGATACAGAGGGAAATGAGAGAAGAAGAGCTCAAGTCAACACTGAAACCAAATACAGTACATTATCATTTCCTTTTGCATGATTTTTTCATTTAAAGGCACAATATGTAAGATTTTTTTATTAAAATATCCAAAAACCACTAGAACAGTGTTATATATTTTGCTGACTTGTGTACTTACATTATCCCAAATGTTTCAAAGAATGTTTAAATCCAGAGAAATAAGCAATTTTAACTAGTGACACGGACCGTGTCCATAGTGTCATTG